GTGAGCTGTAGCTGGATAATGTGAACTGGCATGCTATTACAGGAGGACCTTGGGCAGGGAATTGCAAGGAAATTCTCTTTCTGAACCTGGAGCCCTCTCCCCGAGCCAACATCCCCTTCTCCTGCATCCAAATTCCCTCCTAGAACTTGTGCTTCTCACCCCTTCCCACACCCAAATCCTTCATTCCCACCCTACACCTCCTGTCTCAACCTAGTGAGAGTGTATAAGGGTTGGGGATTGCAAGTGATGGAGAGGAGGGGAACAGAGCAGATGAGGCCTTAAGGACGGGGAGGGGGGTCTTGGGGAAGGAATGTGATTTTCATGCATTGGTGGGGATTTTCATGAATTGGTGGGTCCCCCTTCCCCCCCCTTTTTGTTGTTTGACAAACCTAGGAGTTCTTTGAAATTCTGAAAAGGGTTCCTTGGCCAAATAAAATTGGGAAACACTGATCTAACCTGATCTAATCTATATTGTCCTCGCTGCAGATATAGACCATTAATTTTTTCTGCTTTCAATAGACAAGGAGAACAATTGAGCACCAATGTCTTGATAACAGCCGTTCACATATTTGAGGACTTACCAGATTCAGCTTCTCCCCTCCCCCAAGTCTTCTTTTCTCAAGGCTAAACATATTTTTTTTTAACCTTTCCTCATATGTCAGGTTTTCTAAATCTTATATTTTTGTTGCTCTCTCTGGACTTTTTCCAATTGGTCCACATCTTTCCTAAAATGTGTCACCCAGAACTGGACAATACTCCAGGTGAGCTCTCCACCAGTACCGAGTAGAGTTGGACACTTACCACCAGTGTCTTACATAGGACACGCCTGTTAACTTTTTTTTACAGCTGCATAACATCATGCTATATAATAGGGATGTGAAAGGTTAACCAGTAACTGGGGGGGGGCTGAAGCACCTCCCTTCCTGCCACAGGGGGTCCAGAGCAGCCTCTGTCTGCAGGGAAACCAAGTGCCCCATAGGCAGAAGCTATTTCAGTGTCCAGACAGTCCTTGTCCCCTGCAGGCCTGGATGCCCCACAGACAGGGGCTATGCCAGCATCAGGAACAGCCTCTGTCCACAGGGAGACCGGCCTATGGTAGACAGGGGCTGCTCTGGCGGGTGCTGCGAGCGGGAGCACCGGGGGTTGTAGCATCCCCTGCCTGGATCCCCCTTAATTGGTTAATTGGTTAAACATTAGGTTAACATTTAACCAATTCACTGATTAACCTGAATTTTACATCCCTGCTACATAAAAGTTTAGAATTAATATAGTAAGAAAAAGGCTGCCAAGAAGAAATTGGTCAGACTTCACAAACAATGAATCAGTTCTTCGCACAAATATCCTCAATACACTGCACCTAAAAGGGATCAATTAAGAAGGCCAGATGCGTATGGTTCTTTCCTTTGAGATATATAATTTCCATATTCTGGTCCTGTGTGTCTTCCTCAGATGCAGACTCCATCCCTACCAAAAAGGGTTTGATCTTAGATAGGGAATATTTACTCTTACAGGCGTCCCTATCACAAATAAGCCTTCATATCATACCTGTAAGTCTTTCATTGCCAGCTTAGGGAATACAAACTAAAAGCAACTTTCAGTGGGAAATATTTCATTGTGATGAAAGAAGAAATTGACATGAGTTCAGCCTAAAGTATGAGTAGGAGAGAAGTGGCCTAGCTCTGTCTCCAGGACAGGAGCTATGGGATACTTCCTCCACTGGTCATTGTGGATTACACCTTTGGTGCTTTGTAATGCACAAGCAAGTTTAAATGTCTGGGACAATGCAAATGTAATGTTTCAGCTTGTATGAATGTGTGCACTCTAAATTTCATGTTTATGGTAAATTCAGTTTTCCACGTGGTTCCATAATTTATGCACTCTGGCCATTAATCCACTGTGCTAAAATAATAAGAATCCACATCTCTGAGCAGTTTTACTTCTAGCCTTTCAAAATCAGGGGCTCTGTATTTAAAATTAGAACATTTGAGTTCATAGTAGTTTTATTTTATATTTTAAGTTTCTCAGATATATTTATCTGCCTCTGCATGGGCATTTGGACTCATTTTACTAAGGCACAATAGCAATTTAGGTAGTGGGATAAACCCCATTTTTTAAAATTCTAGAAATTCTAGAATTTATCTGCAAAGTATGTGGCATAAACAAAGGATATGGCATGATACACATTTTGTTCTCTCATTTGGGATATACTCAGTTGGCCACAATTCCATAAGAGGGATCATCCTAAATTCATACTAATGAAGACTTTACAATAAGTCAGACTATCATATATTACCTATATGCATGTGTACACACGTACAAACCAACTAGTGAAGTGTTAAGATTTCAAATTTAAGAAATTATACAATCATAAAAAATGAAAATTAAGACTGAGCCAAAAAAACCTTCTCTCTGTCCTTTTGGAATGCATACATGTCACAATGCTGAAAATGTGTTCACAGATTCTTTCTAAATTACAACTCCATAAAATGTGATCACAAGATAGATTACTGACCAAGAATCCATGGTTCTTCAAACTAACTGATAGGATAGATCCACACTCTAAGGAGCACATGTATTTTCTTTGCTATAGTCAGAACTCTCCGGGAAGCAGTGATCACTGGAGTCTCATGCATGTGTAAGCAGGATCTGAATTAATGCTTCCATAACAGCTAGCTGGAATGGGAGAGAAACCCTGGGTGTGTCTACGTAAATACAGTTTGCTCTTGCTTTGTTTAAATGGTTTAGCTAGTCAGCAGAGTGGCAGTGGCACAACAAGCAGCTAGCAGAGCGGTGGTGGCATGACGAGCAGCCAGCAGAGCAGCAGCACAGAGGTGAAACAAATGGCCAACAGTGGAGAGCAGTGAGCAGGCAGATGGCAAGGGACCATCAGAATGAGTAAGATGCTTCTTTACCTCTCCTTAATCAGGATGGGAGGTGAACTCTGTGTCTGCACCTCTGAACTCTATACCTGCCACGACCGAGGGCAGCAACTGTGAGTGGGATGCAGAGAAGAGTTGGGCATGTGAAGGGACATTTGCATTGCTGGACTTAAGAATCTGAAAGGAAAAGGACATCGGCCCCATCTACTTGGGGTGGGACTGTCACTCATGGTTTTTGTTTATGAACCCTGTTTGTGGTGTTTTCCCAAATTAATGCCACATTACTTCCCTCCCTTTTATTAAAAGTTTCTTTTCTACTCTTACACCCAGTGCTTGCGAGTGGGGAAGCACTGCCTCCCAGACGCGCTTGGGGTGATGTGTGCATTCCCCAGGTTATTGGGTGGGGGGACTGAGCCAATTCTGTGTTGGATGGATGGAGAGGAACTTCTAGATATTGATCCAGGTGCTGGCTCTACCTGGCAGAAGGGTTACACATGCACCTTCACAGTGGAGCTCACACCCAAGATTATAAGAAACAGCAACCTAAATATCACTTGAGGACCTTTCTACTTAATCAAATTCCATTCAAGAGTCTGATGTAGTTACAGTTGGTACGGAGCATGTATCTAAGGTAGTCAACTTACTCAACACTTCACCTTTTATAGCACAAAGCACCACACTTGTGAGATTAGCAACAAAAACTACTAAAGAAGGTGGCTCTGATAAAAGCTAATTAAATAAAGATAACAGAACTGTTCTTCTGAACTGATCACCAGATACAGAAACTGTGTCAACAGAGTTAACTTACTGTAATTTGAATTCTGGACAGCTGTCCCATATATCTCAGTGAAGGAAACATTTAAAAACCTACTGTGGAAACTGTCCTGGACCTGCAGAATGTGTTTTAAAACTTCAAGATACTACCATACTTGCAAATTCATAGCAAGCACACATATACAATGTGATCCATTTAGACCAGCTAAGTAGAAACTCTATCCCTATTAGGCTCATCTTGAACAGTACAAAGACTGTAGGTGATTTATGTAAAGGTTTAATCCTCTGTATATTGTAGCTAAAAGGTACTAAACAATGCCATCTAAGGAGAGAATATACTTGGAAGTTAAAAAAATGTTTTAGGTAAAAGTCAGAAATCAACTTTAGTTAGGAATGTAGGTTGCAGGCATAGCACAATTTTATTCTTTTAGCAAGAGCCAAGGATGCATAGCCTCCGACTGCCTGACTACAAAGGGCAAGAGAATTGAATCAATACTACTTCACTTTGCGTGATCACAGGGCTGAATGTTCCTTTCTGTGAGGCAGCACGTAAATACTACCCTACTATTACCACTTTTGAGAGGGATCTGACTGTGGATCAAGAGTATTGTTCCATCCTGGCAATACTCTGAAAACTGAAGATATCATAATACACAAGAAGACAGAGTTAAGCTTGTGTGCTCAATCTTAGTCTGCACATTCCCTCAGAAAATTGCTTAACTCTTAACCTTGTAGAATTTCCAATTGTTTATTTCTTTATATTGATGATTTATCCCTAAGCCTTTTTATCTTTAAGATTAACCCTTTAAACAAAAAGGATTGCTAAAATAATTCATAAATAGCTTCACGTTTCTTTTTGTTAATGTTGGGATTATTTTTCTGAAATTATAAATAAAAGATGAAAAATGTACTAATACAGAATTCAATTCCTTTCTGACAGAGCCTAAACAGTGATTTTTAATAAGTTGTGAGTGAGTGAGTGAATGAAGGAAGATATTATAACAAACTCTTTTGCAGCAGTAACTATACTATGATTAAGCACTTGCTATAAAATACCTGCATTCACCAACATCCTCAAGATATAGCAGTAATGAAAATAATTCAAATATTGGCCAGAAGGTATAGTGTGGAGTGGGAGTAAGGGGGAAACATTTAAGTGAGAAAAATAACCTTTCTGGAATGGCACATAAGCTAACCAAATCGGTATGCATACAAACAACTTGAATTGTAACAGAGCCTTTGATCAAGAATTAGGTGAAAATATTTGTAGAGAATTGGGAAATTGTGATGAAAAAGGAAAACAAATGTAGATGTTAAAATAAAGGGCCAATTCCTTTACTGTATTACCTAATGCCTTGAAGAGCTCTTCTCGCACAGCAGAGGTGAACTTTCTGATCAGACAAAGAGTTGTCATAATGGCGAAGAGTAAATTGTATGATAACACAATGTAGAAGTTTCCCAGCCAGTTAAACCTTCCAAAGTCTCCAAGCAGATCAAATCTGGTAATTCCTGTTAAAATTAGATTTTTTTAACATTTAAAAAGAAATAAAGATTTCAGAAAAAAAATTAAAACATTTTAAATTACTATAAAAATGCAGATTGACATATGTAACTCCACTACTTGATGCTGCGTTAAAAAAATGCACTACAAATTCTTATGACTGATAGATAGGCAGACTGCAAAATAAATAAAAAATTCAAGGTCATTTGGGTCTTTAGTTTGGCTACCATAAAGTTGCTAGCTATGCTATCCTATTTGTTGGTGGACCAAAATTGAAACAACAGACTAGCCCATCTCTACAAAAATATAATTTTGCCTATATTAACTACATTTTGTATGTTGATTTTTATAACACTTTTGATTTTTTTACAGATATCTGTAGCAGTAAATGTCCTGCCAAGAGAGGCACAAACCTACATGGTAGAGTAAACATTAAGGCTGTATACATGCTTTGCAGATCCACTATTTCAGAATCTGGTATTTAAAGACTTCCACTTCAGTTGTAATTCCTCTCTTCATGCCAGTACGGCAGTCAGATAGGAGTCACACAGGAGGATGAAATGAGTTAAGCTCCCATGTAGACCTCAGGGTCCAACACACATGCCAGAGTAGCAAACTCTCAGGACTACCAAGCTCTAAGTCTAATGTTCCCTCAGCAAGTATTAATATGTCAATGGATGAGACTCTACTAAGAAGCAGACAAGAAAACAGGAAACTTTCCACACCAGTGTTGTGTCAAGTCTAACACAAGTCAGTTCCAAGAGGGCAGTCTGTGCCCTAAAAGACAACATCAAGACACACTGTATAGATATAAAGGACTAACAAAAATGTAGATAAAGTGCTGCAGAATTACTCATTGTTTAAGATTTTTCAGTTACGGACTAACATGGCTACCCCTCTGAGACTTTTAGATATAAAGGTGTAGGTTGTCGAGGCAATTCGCAAAACAATCTCCTTGCTTGAATCCATTACAAAGATTACTCCTGTGGTAACATCCTCAGAACTCAGTCTTAAATGTAAATAAGGGAAAGGGAAAGTTTTCATGGGCTTCAACACCAAAATGGGGGAAATAAAAGCTCCAGATTTCAAGCTCCCTTTGAAAACACAATACTCAGACCTGAAATTCTTGGGAGCTGGTTTTGAATAACAGCTCTATTAAAAAAAAATGCCAGACTTTGAAAGACTTCAGATTTCAGTATACTACCTCCAGTGCTTTGTGCAGTCATAAGAAATGATACTTTAATTCCATCTTTTTTCCAGCTGCAAGGAGCTGTACCGTGGCCCTATTCCAGACTCTCTATATTTGTCAATGACACCTCATGGCATTACAAAACATGAACCATGTAAACCCTTGCCATCTTATCTAGCCAGAAGAGGAGCAGCTAACTGGGATCAAATTGTGCATTTAAGGAGAACAGAAAGGGTACAAGATCACAAGAAAAAGAGATTATGGAGAAAAAAAGGAGGGATATTAGGATAGAGCCCTAAGGAATAATGTAGAAGTGACTAAAGCTGACTAAGGGGGCACCCTAAATGTGAAATAAGATATGCAATTTGTGCTACGCTATTTTGAAAGAGCTTATTTTGAAATGTGGCGTGTCTACACAGTACCAAATTTCAAAATAACGTGCTATTTTTTTGAGCCATCCCCCATCCCTCATGCAACAAGGTTTACTGGGATGGCAAAATAGTGCACCTATTATTTCGAAAAATATTTTGAAATAATGGACAGCTTGTGCAGACGTGGGGTAGCTATTTTGGGATACCTCCAGTATCCCAAAATAGCTGTGCAGTGTAAACATACCCCCAAATAGTGAAAAGGAGAGGGCAAAGAGCTAGGTGAACAAAGTGTACAGGTGCTTGATCCTGCCAAAAGTGCAGGAGATTGGATTTGATGACCTCTCAGGATTCCTTCCAGTTCTAGTAGTCTATGATTCATAAGCACATAGTTCCTTCTCCTTTACTGTCAACATCAGCAAGCAGATCAAGAAAGATAAATGCAGAGAAGATGCCTTTACACTTGACCATGAAATTGAGATTGACCTTAAACACAGTTTCAATGGAATAGAGACTGTGGAAGTCTGACTGCAGGACTCAGAAAGAAGGTTTGAGAGAGAAATTAAAAGCAGAGAACAAGACACACGCCAAAAGGCTGAAGTAAGAGGTGGGAAAAGGAACTGGTGCATTAGTTGGATACGTAAGTGGGGCCAACACAATTTTTCTTTTTTTTTTGCACAAAATACAAGAGTGACTCCTGACGACAAAGGAACTGTGAGGAGGGTTGGTGTTCAAAGGAGAAAACATCACTGGAAGACAAATCACAGAGGGAGTGTGCCATGTATCAATGATAACGTGTATATTTCTTGACAATCTTTAACAAAAAAAAAAATTTATACACTTATCTAGAAAACCAGCCATTATGCAAGTTGATTTTTGTTACCTTATCTATTTAAAAAAAAACAAACATATACAGCCTTTTCTGGGAAAAAACATTCAGCGAGCGTAAACTTTAAGAATTTATTGTAGTACCATAGAAGGTTATCCTCTGCTACACTTAAATATATACATAAGAAGTATTAGGGATAAAATATTCTGTGGAAATTTTAAAATTCAAAATTATATTTATAAACTTAAAAATTCTAAAAATACAGCATTAAGTAAATACAAAACTTCACTTTTAATTTCAAATCAATATTTATGATAAAATTCTAGAGGAAAAAATGCTGGCAAATACTAATTTTATAATGCAAATTTCAAATGTGTTTTTAGCTCTAAAATCCCCTAGTTTATCAACTACTCTGCTCCTACCTAGTTCAGTTCATCATGGTAAATTATATGGTGATGACAATCATGCATTTGTCAATCAGAAGCAGTAAAATAAAGGAGGGAAAAGGCCTGAAAAAACTAGTTTTTTTTTCATTTTTTGCTAAAAATAACCCTAACTCCTTGAATATGGCAATAAAGAGTTAACAGAAACCTTAATTAGAATGCTAAAATATATGTAACAATTGTCACTACTTCATCTTAAATTCAAAGACTGGATTAAAAAAGTTAAAAAAACATTAAATACTTGAAAACTTCCCCAGTTTACCTTTCCCAGAATGCTGAAATCCTGCATTTCCTTTACAGTCTAGAAACCTGCTCTTTTAATACTGTGAAAAGACTCAATCTGTTTAACATACCTACTTCTTTTCATTTATTCAGCGCCACTGGGCGTGACATGTATCATAGAATACTAGGACTGGAAGGGACCTCGAGAGGTCATCGAGTCCAGTCCCCTACCCCCATGGCAGGGCCAAATACTGTCTAGACCATCCCTGTTAGACATTTATCTAACCTACTCTTAAATATCTCCACAGATGGGGATTCCACAACCTCCCTGGGCAATTTATTCTAGTGTTTGACTACCCTGACAGTTAGGAACTTTTTCCTAATGTCCAACCTAAACCTTCCTTGCTGCAGTTTAAGCACATTGCTTCTTGTTCTATCCTCAGAGGCCAAGATGAACAAGTTTTCTCCCTCCTACTTATGATACCCTTTTAGATACCTGAAAACAGCTATCGTGTCCCCCCTCAGACTTTCTTTTCCAAACTAAACAAACCCAATTCTTTCAGCCTTCCTTCATAGGTCATGTTCTCTAGATCTTTAATCATTCTTGTTGCTCTTCTCTGGACCCTCTCCAATTTCTCCACATCTTTCTTGAAATGTGGTACCCAGAACTGGACACAATACTCCAACTGAGGCCTAACCAGCGCAGATTAGAGCGGAAGAATGACTTCTCATGTCTTGCTCACAACACGCCTGTTATTGCATCCAGAATCATGTTTGCTTTCTTTGCAACAGCATCACACTGCTGACTCATATTCAGCTTGTGGTCCACTATGACCCCTAGATCCCTTTCTGCCGTACTCCTTCCTAGACAGTCGCTTCCCATTCTATATTTGTGAAAATGATTGTTCCTTCCTAAGTGGAGCACTTTACATTTGTCTTTATTAAACTTCATGCTGTTTACCTCAGACCATTTCTCCAATTTGTCCAGATCATTTTGAATTATGACCCTATCCTCCAGAGCAGTCGCAACCCCTCCTAGCTTGGTATCACCTGCAAACTTAATAAGCGTATTTTCTATGCCAATATCTAAATTGTTGATGAAGATATTGAACAGAGCCGGTCCCAAAACAGACCCCCTGCGGAACCCCACTCGTTATCCCTTTCCAGCAAGATTGTGAACCATTAATAACTACTCTCTGAGTATGGTTATCCAGCCAATTATGCACCCACCTTATAGTAGCCCCATCTAAGTTGTATTTGCCTAGTTTATTGATAAGAATATCATGAGAGACCATATCAAATGCCTTACTAATGCAATGCATGTAGATATTTTGCAAAGTACTATATGACTCACAGTACTCTAACAAGCTTTATTAATCCTGTTTGGACAGCTGGGACTGTGCATTTGTTAGCTGTATTTTAATTGTTCCATTTTTATTTATCTCTATGGCAAACTGTTCAGGAATTTCATCTGTTAGTTTTAAGTGAGTTTTGCCATTAATTTATTTTTTACATAACAGTTACACCCAGCATTTACACTTTCCTCAATATAATCACCATTTACAGTGCATAATCAATCATTTTGTCAAATGTAAATGGCAAATACCAAAAAAATGAGTAGCATAATATAAATGCCAAGATGTTAAAAAGTGGTTTTATTTCTCAGATCGTTGTCATATTTGCTCTTGATTTTAAGATTGGAAAACTGATTATCAGATTTATTATTCTGAATTTTTGTGTAATTCAGAATGTCAATATAGGATTACATTATCTTGTGATATTAAACATGGGTTTGTTTATTTATTTACTTATAGGTGAGAGCTGTGTGTTAGGATACCATCTTTGAAATAAATTGTTTCACACACAGGATTACTCTCTCCTGGAATGTCACTGAATTTTAATGGGACAGTACAGAAATAGACTTCTGAGTGCCTGTTTGTCCTTGTTTAGGTGTTTTAAAATAGGATTCTTTATAAGAAGATTATATACAGCATGACATGTAATTGTTAGACTTTTTTAATGGGAAACCTTTTATTGTTTTGGCAACTCTGATGCCACAAACAACAATTTGACTGTTTGGTTGGTTGCATAGTACTGTGGATAGGACCTAAAAACACTACATTCACACTGATACAGTCCTAAAAGAAAGTTACAGCACACTAGCATGTGCCACACTTCCCATCCCATAGTCCAAAGGGTGGAGCCATGTCGACAGAGCCTAACTGGAACAAAAGTTAGATTATTTCAAATCTGACTACCTGAAATTAAGCTTGTATATCCATAAAACATCTAAAATGTAAGTGGCCTAATTCTGCGAAGCAGCCAACACCCAGAAATCCCACTGAAGTTCACAGGAGGTTCCAAGTGCTCACTGAAAATCAGGTGACTTATTTAAATGCTTCCATATGGATTTTCCAGCCTAAATTTCGGCACTCCGGTCTAGGTATGAATGGCTGAATATTTAAATACATTTCAAATACAAAGGATCTCTCTCTCGCCAATCTGTTACACCAGTTTTCCAGGACAAGTATCTATGAAAATTTTAAACAGAAATAAAGGTTTATTTTCCCCACCAATATTCCAAAGTTTAGCCTTTAACATATTAACCTAAAGAGGCAAGAATCATATGCAGAAATATTTTAATAAAAACAATAGTTCTCTTATTGCTATAAAAAATGCTAAATACATGAAGTGTGTTTATCACTTCATAAGCTTTTATGCTCAAGGCATTAAGTTGCTGCATCATCCATGCACTTATGACATCTATATGAACTGCACAATTTTATATAAAATAAAAACCAATTTTAAGATGGACACAAAATAACCATAATTTCTTTCAAAAGTTTTCAAAACTGTTTTCTTTTTACTGTCTGAAAGTTTACCTTCAAGAACAATAGTATTATTTAGTTTCTATAAAATACTAAGCCAGCAATGATTTTAGACCATTTTTTCTTGCTTTCTTTTCACTAAAGCCCTTTAAAATATTCCTTAAATCCATTTTAAAGCAAACCATGATCTTTTGAATATCATTTGAAAAATCTATGTACAGTAGACTTTCAATAATCCAGAACCTTTGGGACCTAGGTGGTGCCGGATTATCGGATATGCCAGACTATCAGGAGGTACTATAAACTGGAGATTACTTACACACACACACACACACACACACACACACACTGTATACAGTAAAGTGTTTTTAACCCTTTTTATTGTACATACTGTATACAGTATACTGTAATATTTTAGTTTTTTTAACCCTTTTTTATCCTTTTCACTTGGTTCAGCTGCTGCTGCCTTGTGACTCGTTTTTTGCAGAAGCTCACTCACTAGGCTCTTCACATTTTGATGCTGGACTATGAGGAGTGCCGTACAATTGGATGCCAGACTATTGGAGTTTTACTGTATTTTCTAGAAAATGTGTGATTCCTGCTATTTGATATGTAGGCTTGAAAGGGATTACCTTTTTACCAGTAAATGATGGTAAACTTCAATATTATCATACACATACACAAGAAAAAAAAAACACCTCTATCAATAGTAACAGAAAGTTACACAAAACAAAACAAAATGTTGCTTGCAAATGTAGTAGGGTTTGATTTTAGGATATTATTTTGTATATTTTGATGTAACATGGACAATTTATGTTTTAATTATAAATTCTAATTATAAAATAAACTTTTTGAATCTTAACATCTACTATCATTAAATAATTGTTGTCTGACTCCCCTCAATCTCTTGCAACTGTGAAAATTTCAAATATGTAAAAATTGAAAAAAATGCTTAGAAACAAACATTGATATTATCCATTAAGAATTGTGTTCTACCAATCTTGGGGTGTTGTGTGATTTAAAGAAATGTATAAGTTTGCTTTAAGCAAAGACTGACAAAGTACAAGGATGAAGTCGTGTATAGTTCTTGTGCAACACCATGAAAATGTTGATATATTTCCACAGTCTGACTTTTCCTGGATCAATTTCATTTACATGCCTGCTTAAATACATTATGAATACATACCTCACAGTAAAATATGTTGCTGTTATGATACTGAAATATTTGTATTAAACTTACCCAGTGTTCTTGACATCACTGGCAAAGCAGAGCTGAGCACCAAGATTGACACACAGTTTCCAATTATCTATTTTGAACAAGAATACCCCCATCAAAATAGGTTTTTTGCTATAAGAAATATCTGAAAGAATGATTTCTAAAAGCCACATCCTGTAGATTAGACTTAGAAATATAATTTTACTTTAGATTATGAACCATTAATTTGTTCTTGCTTCTGCTAGGTATCTCCAATAACTGGTATTCACAAAAATTTTACCTCTAACAACAGAAAAGGTCAAATATTTATTAAAACCAGCAGATAAAGATATAAACAAACAAGTTTAATATACATTTTAATCTATAAACATGTTCATCAAAGTATTTCATAAAAAAATAGCGACTGCATAAATTAAAGCCAACTGTCTTTCACTTGATAACTTAGGTCCCAATTCTGCTAACACTTTATGCGCTTACTTTTATGCATATGAATCTTTACACTGGCTTTGGGATGGCCTTTGTGTAAAATTAAGCATATTTTAACTGCTTGCCAAATTAGAACCCAATTATAAAAAAGGCTAAAAAACTAAATGTTTTCTTTCCACTGAGTTTTTGTTGGTAAATTTAAACAACCAGCACAAACAAACAGTTCAGCAAGGTTAGATTTGTCTGCAGTTTTATAGAAGCTGAACCTGTGTTTCCTGAAAGCAGTTTGTTCAGCTCTAGTTCTAGAACAATTAACAGTAAATTAAATACCTGTTTAAGGTACAAAAGTTTCTACCTTGCAATTTATTTATATTTTATTTTTTCTAAACTATTCTTAATGTATTGTAAATGAAAGCTGAGCAGACATTAGGACACTCACGCATGCACACACACACTGCTATTCATTAGAGATGTTCTATGCCTTCACGCACTTTCCTACTTTCAAGAATTCCTGGCAAGATTAAAATATCATGCTATATTTGAGAAGGAATTTCTTAAATACTAGAATACACTAATATTTAATTAAATCCAAACCCTGCCTCCTGCTTATTGAGCTTCCCCCTCTTGTCAGATTGTGGGAATATTTTGTCAGAAATCTCTGCATGTGTCTCAGTATTAGGTAAAAGAATTTGTTATTCTAAAACCAATGCCAAATTGTGGAAAGTCAAACTAGACTCAGACTGCAAAATGTTGCTGAATAGAACTCCTCAGTCTTACTTTAATTACTCAAATTTGAATTACTTTGTATTACTTGTTGCAACCAAGTTCTTCAGATTTCAAACAAGCTCCCTGAAGTACAGTTAGCACAATCAAAGTTACTCATTAGCAATACGTTTCCTTTGGGAAAAAAAGTCCTTTCACTAGTTTTTCTATAGCTAGTTAACAAGCTCTGCTATTCCAGGCTTTTTACAAATGAATGGATGCCATCCAAACTCAACAGAGCACATCCTTTTTCCCACTCATTCAGCATTTTGAAAATCTTCCAGTTTGTGTTTACACAGCTTACAAACAAATAATGATCACTGCAAATGAGCCATTCAGGGCAATTACTAACTAAAAGAGCCAGTTTGTCTTGGGTGGCAAAAAAAGGGGGAGGGGAGAAGCAACACTACCTCAGACTTTACCTTACCTTTGTCATAGTTGTGTCATCCTTCCTGGGAGTGAAATTTCCAAAAAAGCGAAGGCTATAGAAGCCGACGACAGAGGATACCATGAGATAGCTGTGAGAATCAAGGAAAAAAGAACCTCCAAGGAATGCAAATTTCACTCAAGTTCTTAGCAGTCTCCTAAAAGTCTTAAGAACCAAAGAAAAAACAAAAACACTTCAAGTGCTTGAGAAGGACTGACCTGTCTCTTTCTTCTTTCGAGGCAAGTGTCTTAGTAAATTACCAGTGTCCCAGAAAACTAGACAGAATACTTGTTAACAGACAGAATTCTTACTTAAAGAAAGGATACAAAATCAAAATGATTTCAAGTGCTGCTCCCACAAAACCAAAAGTGGATAGGGAGGCATTTCCTATTCCAGGCCCCTACAAGGAGAAAAATACTTTGCATACTTCAATGAGATACAAGTATTAAGTGTATAAAAAGTTAACTTTTTGTCCCTAGCAAAACTAAAAAATCCTTGACTGGAAGATGCTATAACAGACAACGAGTACCATTATAAAATTAAATATTTTTTGACAACTCTATAAATTCAAGACAATCTCAATTTAGGCTCAAATGCTTTGTTATTACACTAGCTAGAATTCGTATTTAAGTAAAAACAATGAGGAGTCCTGTGGCAACTTAGAGACGAACAAATATATTTGGGTAAGCTTTTGTGGGCTGGAGCCCTCTTCATCAGAAAACTTACGCCCATATAATTTGTTAGGCTTTAATGTGTCACAGAACTCCTCATTGATTTTTCTAGAGACAGATTAACATAGCTACCCTTCTGAAATTTAAGGAATGCATTTTAATAAGATGGGAAAACAACTTGGTTTCTGGCATTATGATTTACATATGTAACATCTATATCATATATTATATTTATATACATTTCCACTCCCTAAAACCAGACTCTTTTCACTGTATGTAGTATTAGCAACAGAACAGCAGCTTCTACTAAATACCTTTGTATAGATGTCAACTACAATGTCAAACTGTATTTATGCAGGAAAAAAGTATTAACCACCAACACCACCAAAAATAATATCACAATTAATGCTAACAATGAGCTCACTTATTTTCTTCAGAGAAAGTATTGTAAAAGTGTAAAATTTGTATTTCATGTAAAAACAGATATGAAAATACTGAAGGATATTGGCAGGGGAAATGAACAGGTTTTTTAATGGATTATTTTCCCATAAAAACCTACTACTAGTCCACTATTCAAAAATACAAAACACAAAAAAAGATACCCGCCTCAGTTTTCTGGTGGCACACTATTTACCCATGTTTTTCTTCCCTATGACTGGGCTTCATTCTATTGAGAGGTCAATAAGGTTACTCATTTGGATAAAGTTAGGCATATTTTTAATTTGGAGGACTCAACCCAGAACATCAATCTCAGGTATGAAATACAGTGTTTTTAAAGCTATCAAAGTGCAATCTCTCCTTAGAATTTTTACAAGAAAGTCTTCTGATCATGTCCCCAATATTTTCAAAATAATAAAGGAAATTAAGTTTACATTACCCTTGATCCCTTTGGCATTGCAGTCTCATCGATTAACAGGCAAAGAATGTTGCAGGCAACTAAGAGGACTGAGATGGACTATAAAGAAGTACAGACATTCTGTCAATTCTAAAGGTTAACATTTAAACAAATGTCTAACATTATGTGATCTGGTGAAAATTAACCATCAATATATTTGTGAAGAAAAGTTGAGGAGGGAAACAAACAGATTTCATATGGTTTAACATAAATCTTACTCAAAGCTATTAAAATTAGCTGCAAATAACTGAGAAGATTCTACATACTGAAAAAAAAAGAAATTCTTACCGTCTCAATAAGCAGCAATATCATAACAGCTGGATACACTAAATTCCTCTCCCATGCAGAAGCTTTTTTCCGCCGTTCTTTTCACGGGGAATAAAGAAAACTTAGTGCCATAATTTGAGCAGTCTTAACAAAGAACATAAATCTGTAAAAATTGTAGGTAACCTTCTTAAAAAAGCCCCGGCATCTACCCCATTTGGCAACAATCAGTTGACAGAATATCTACATTCAAGTATAACACAGAGCAGTACAAAAATCAGGATGTCAAAACCATCATGGAGCCCCATTAAAGGAGGACTATGTGGAGCTCTTGTAAATCAGGTTTTATTTTTATCCCTGGCTAATGCTCACAGTTACACATCAAGGTGATAGTTAAATTATACTGGCGTTTTTCTGGCATTGGTGTAGTTTTACAAAGTTTTACTTTGTACTGCACACCTTGTCACATACTTGAAATTTAAATTACTTCCTCACATCCCTCCGTACGCTATCAGGGTTCTGCAAGAGTGGTATTACAGTAAATCCTGGGCTATTACAAGGAATGTAAGCTGTGTATGTAGATCTTCATACAACCCAAAAAGAAAAAGACATTACACTAAGGCCCTATTTGAATCATGGAATGATCTTCACAAATAATTATGGCTGAGTTGCAGACAAGACATGGAAAATGGCAGAAAGGTAATGGATCTTTATGAATAGCTATAAATTGGAAAAGCTAGAGTAGACCTAGTTAAGTTGCAGTGGAAGCCTAATATTGTGAGATCTGCAATAATAGAGAATGAAATAGGGTCTTATATTACAGTCATTTATACTAAATAATACTCCTGCTCTTGCTGTTTTACATTAGTCAGTATATAAACCTAGGACTAATTTAAAAATTAGATACCAGAAATCAGCATTTAGTCTAAAAGTTAACATTTACTTACTGCAGCAT